CTCCTGCTAGGGCATCAGGGCAGCCAAGGGCACCGTCCCGCCTCCCAAACGCCAGCCCTGGCGAGGCAAGGCTGGACGCCAGGTCCGTGTCGCTGCCCCCCAAAGCACCCGGCTTTCGGCCGCGGGACGGGGGCTGCTGCAGGCGCTCCTCCGCGCGGGAACAGCCGACAGCCCTACCGAGCTCCAGCTCGCACGCGCCTGCTCTGCTCCTCCCGGTCATAACTGGCCTCCATGCCGTGCAAACATCTAAAGCCCAATCCTCCCGTGCCCGTATTCATCAGCTCCAGCGAAGTCCATGGAGCACAACGCGCTTGCTCCTCCTCCTCCTCCTCCTCCTCACAACAAGCCCGTTGAGGCCCATGCTGCTGCCACACGGCCAAGACTGCTTGGCCGGTCCTGAGCCCTCATCAGCACTGATGTGAGCAGGGCTCCCTGCAGCACCCAGGGGCTGGATGGGCACGGAGACTGAAACCGTTCTGAGGCGCTTCCCTTGGCCAAGCAGCTTCACAATTAATTTAATTGCTAATTAAATTAATTTAAAGGCATCGAATACTTCCCCAAAGAGAGGTGCTGAGAGGACGCAAGCTCGTTTTAAAATTGTAACAACCACCTATAACTTAATCTGCTCATTTCGTTATCCCCAGAGTTATGAGGACCTCAATTAAAAGCCTTTATCGTCGCAACAAGCTAAGCGAGGAAGCATCCTTCCACCATGTGCTCTCTCTTTTCTTCCTTGAAGGAGAGGCCAGGAAAGCAAATGCCCCTCATTTCTGCTGCGTCAGAGCAGAGTCCCGTCCACAGAACCACGTGGCCCGGAACAGCCCCCTGAAGCACTGCAGCCGGATTAAACCCTGCCTTTCTTTTGGGAACAGCCGGAGAGAGGCAGACAAAGAAATTCGCCTTCAGTGCTGACTGTGCTGGAGAATACAGCAGGGGCGCCCAAGTCGGTGGAGAAAACACTGAAGGAATGATCGCACGATGGCTGCGTTTTTACTTGGGGCGCGCCAGCACAGCCGCGACGCTCGGTAAGCGGGGCTGAGGTTCCTCTCTCCAGCAGGCGATGCTCCGAGGGGGTAAGGAGCAGATCCTGGCAGCTCCGAGAGCGGCCATGGGCAGCACCCAGAGCCAGCCCCTCCTCGCATCCGCAACTTTGGAGCTGGGCTCTGTTCTGGGGCTGACGGCCAGGTCTGTCTCTGTCACCTCGTCACCAAGCCCTGGGCTTCCCAGACCCCCCTGGAGCCAGCCCCTCCAGCAGTGACCTCCCCGAGGGGCTCCCAGCATCCCCACGCAGGAGGCTGCTGGAAATCCCAGCGGGCAGGACAAGAGCAGGGGGAAGCAGGGGGAGAGGATCTGGAATCAAGTTGGTTCAGCTCCCTGCCTGGAGGACTATAATATACTTTATAGATAAAATGTAAACATAAAGAGCGTACAAATTGCACTTGATCCTTGGGATCTGGCGTTTTTACCAACGGAAGGTTCTGGTTCACCATTTGCACTCCGGTGTGGAACAGGACGGCAAGGGACTGACCGGACCGGGCACGGGCCAAACTTAACGACAAACTATTTCCGTTAAAAGACCAACCAAGTGACACCGGGGATGTTCAAACGGCGGAGGTGGCAGAAGGAGAGCGCTCACCTCCCCTGGAGAGTGGCAAACGCCCCAGAGCGCGCCCAGCACTCGCACGCTGCCGGGGCGGCTCTGTCCACTCCTGCGGATCCGCGGCAGCTCCCAGCCCCCGCGGGGCGGGGGTGCCCCCTCCGGCACCGCA